CCCCACTCCTCCACTTGCACCTGCTGATGTGACCTTGGGTCAGTCACAAGCTCTGGCACAGCTGTCCTTGAAAAAGAGCAGTTTGTGTCAGAGTTCTTTCAGCCCCACCCACCTCACAGGGTGTCTGTTGTGGGGAGGGGAAGGGAAGGGAGTTTGTAAGCCGCTCTGAGACTCCATGTGAAGGGCGGGTAATTATCTACTTACAGGGACCTTATTTCAGATAAGGCAGCAGTCAGAAAAGATATCCCACACCTGCTTGAAGTGGTGCCGTCCATTTTAATTTAGAACTCTACCACCTCATTGTCTTGCATGTGTAGGCCTAGCTTTAGTTTTCTCACCACTGAAGTTCACTTGAAGTGTTTTGTATAATCGACGGAGAGCTCATTGCATTGACAATGACCCCACCTGGCTTCTGTCTCCAATGAAATTGCTGATGCAGGGCCAGTGAGTCCAGATATTTCCTTGGTACTCATCTGGAAATTTCTTCTCACCTACAGCTCACTTTCATTAGAAACAGTGGTAGAGCATCTGCCTTGCATAGCTCCCAGGTTCAATCCCTGGTATCTCCAGTTAAAAGAATTGTGTAGTAGCTCATGTGAAACACCTCCGCCTTGGACCCTGGAGAGCCACTGCCCGTCCGAGTAGACAATACTGATGGACAGCTTGATGGACATCTGATCTCTCTTACTTAAATGATAATGCTTTAACGGTCAACTTGCCACAAACAATATCACACTGAAACAACCCTATATTATCCCCATTACATTTAATTACCACTGACAAAAAATTGCAACTAATACTGTGATCCAGGGCTATTTTGGGGCAGGAACGCACAGGAATGAAGTTCCGGCTGGCTTCAGAGTTGGCCACGTCCACTACAGCCAAAACCTCTGCGTGAGTGACTACAGAGGGAAGGCCTGGAGAGCGATCTCCCCCCCCAGCTACTCCAAGGCGGGCGGGCCAGGGGGGCGCTGGAAGGATTGGGGAGGCATTTAAATGCCTCCCCGTGCCTTCCCTGGCCTGTCCAAGGGCCGGCTTGCCTGGGCTCCCTGCAGCCACAGGGTGCCCGGGCAAGCCAAGGGAAGGCATGGGAGTTTTGGCCTAATATGCTAATGAGTTACTGCTGTCGGGTGTGGCCTATGATGCTAATGAGTTCCTGCTGGCCTGGTGTAGTGGTTAAGTGTGCGGACTCTAATCTGGGAGAACCGGGTTTGATTCCCCACTCCTCCACTTGCACCTGCTGATGTGACCTTGGGTCAGTCACAAGCTCTGGCACAGCTGTCCTTGAAAAAGAGCAGTTTGTGTCAGAGTTCTCTCAGCCCCACCCACCTCACAGGGTGTCTGTTGTGGGGAGGGGAAGGGAAGGGAGTTTGTAAGCCGCTCTGAGACTCCATGTGAAGGGCGGGGTATAAATCCAATCTCTTCTTCTCTTCTTCTTCTTCTTCTACAAAAAAAGCCCAGCTGTGATCCTATTATTCATAGCTAATTAAAATATCTGAATTCGACTCTGCAAAGAATGATAAAATTTGTCAGATATAAACTGCCCTAAAGATTTCTTCCCCAAGTCCTCCCAAAAATAACATAACAGTGAAATAAGTCCCAAAGTCTTGATTAGACCCTCCCTACACTCACACCTTTTATCTGAATAAGAAATACCTGCATTATGGCCTTCAGTAACTATTAATTCCACAAGCACACCATGCCAGAATGACAGTAACCATTGACTTAAAGGCATTTAGCCTAGCCAGAATAAATGCCCTCCAAGGACATCTGATCTGATTCAACAGAAGACATCTTCATGAATTAATTTAATTAATTTGGCTCAGTCTTCCTTGGGCTGAGCTGGACTTCTAATCATGCGTACATCATGTTATGAACACTCTCTGCTGACCCATGAGAAGAGACTTTCACTCTTTACGCACCTATACTTGTGTTCCCTACAACAAGAGGGGCATTTGGGTACTTGGTTTTCAGACCCAGAAGTTCTTGTAGTGTCACGGGAGAAATCCAGGTAGTCCTTTTTCCGTAGAAAACCAGAGTTCTTTCTTTGTTCTCTTCACTCATTCTCTAGGAGGAAAAACGAAAGGGAAATGTTACCCTAGGAATAATGCTGATGTTAAAGCAATGGATCAAGGATAGAAAAGAACATGACACCAGACAATGTGGCCATGGGGTTTCCATCTTCCCATCCTCTAAGGGGCGCTCTAAAGACGGTGAGAAAGCAAGACCACTGAGGTGGAATCACAGAGAGGAAAATTTACTGGTGGGCAGGGCTTTTTTTTTTTTAAGAGATGCTGGAACTCTCAAGAGGGAAATGAAGTCTGTAAGAGGGAAATGAAGTTTTCAATCTGTAATACTGAAAACTCATGGCAGAAAAAGACTGAAAAATAGCATGGGTTTCTATTGAGAAATTTGGTAGTTGCATTCCAAAAATACTGGGCACAATCAACACCACAACCCATGATTAAGGAATCATGGTTAAGGAAGTGTTGGTAAAGTATGATCACAGATTGACAATTACAGTACAAGAACAATTAAAAAGAAGAAAGATATATAATTTAGGGTTTATTTGGGAACAGATGGAGGATTTTATTAGTTACTGGAATATGCTAAAACTAGAGGAAGAAGTGAAGGCTGAGATATATAGATTTTAGGTCCGAGTCTCCCATTGTTATAAAATATTGTCTGTGGGTTGGTCAATAATCAGAATCACACAGTTAAACTCAGCTAGACTTTAGAGTAACACTCAAGACCTGGTGAGAGATGTTTATTAGGTAACATAACTCCCCCCTTTTTCTGATTCATTTTTTGTAATTACATACAATTAAAAAATTATAAGAACTCCTCACTGCAGTATAGCACACATTGCCACATGCTTTTATTTTTCTTTTCGAACCCATATGCCTATTAACAGTTTTTCTCAGCAAGCACAAGTAAAGGGGATAATTTCTTACCATGAGTTCAGGTGGAAATATATAGTCCTGGGTTGGATCGTGGGGCTCAAATTCTTCTGGCTGGCAGAGACCTGAACACATCTTAAGGAAAAGAAGTTAAACCCCAACATTAGTGTATATGGACATCGGAAAAACAGGATTTAAATCTCAAGAATCTCACCTCTACATACTATTGATCCAGCTAGATCCGAGTCGTTAGATGTGCTCGTGGGTTTCTTGCATGCAAGAACTACCTTCAGCCAGCCCATAATTATTTTACTGCCAAATAATGTAGTTTACTCTTTGTGACGGCCCACAACACACACACACCCAGCCTGTTCTGGCCACTGTTTTCATTCAGCCACGCTGATGTGCAAGCACATTAAAATCCATGGTGAGAAAGTGATAATAATGTTACTTCTAAAAGCTTAATCAATCCTGTCTTTGCTTTTTATTAAACCACTATGCATTTCCCAGGCTTTACAGCAAGGTGGCAAAAGCCAGTCTGGACCCAGGTCGATCTATGCTGGTCACGTGACCTATCACGCATTTTCACAGGTTAATGTGGCCAGAACTCAGTTTGTCAGCTGACTGAGATTTGCAACTGCCTTAGAGCTAAGAGGCCACTAGGAACTTGAAGTAAAGTTACCAACTCTGGGCTTGAAAATTATTGGAATATACAAGGTCTATAGTGCACCTACTGGAAGAAGATCAGAAGAACAGCCTATAGAGGACAGCTGAAGGACTGCTAGTTAGCACAGCTAGATTAGGGACTTCCCACAATTTCACATCATCTTCCTGTCTCCTGATTGGCTCTTGGGAGACTTCCTGCTCCAACTGAGCCCACCCCCTTCCTTCCTGTCTCTCACAGCAGTTAGTCAGTTAGTTAAGCCTCTCTCTCTCTCCTCTGTTCTATCAGAGTTTATTTCTTCTTTAATACACGAAGTTATTTTTTAAACCGTTGGTGCTCCATTCCTCTGCATGTTTAAACTCTACCAACAACAACAAAAAAAGCTTCGGGGGCGGAGCCTGGGGAGGGCAGTGTTTGAGGAGGGGAGGGACCTCAGTGGGGTCCTATGCCATAGGGTCAACCCTCCAAAGCGGCCATGTTCTCCAGGGGGACTGATCTATGGAGTCCGGAGATCAGTTGTGATGCTGGGAGATCTCCAGGCCCCACCTCGAGGTTAGTTACTCCAAACCGGGGTCATAAAAACGATCAGTACTGTAATGGGGAAAATACAAAAAAGATGTGGAAGTTTACAGGCAAATTAATTTACTGTTGGATAAACTTTAGTAATCAGTTTCACCGTTCAGGTTGAACTCATCTTGACTGCAGTGTCCTGCAAACAGCAGCGGGGAAAATCTGCTCTTCCTCTGCTTTGTGCTGCACTCTGGGCAAGTTACGGCAGACATACAGACTCATTTCTGACATGTGCACAGCCATGTGGCTCGTGTGTGCGGGGAGTGTACAGTTAAAACTGATTAAGTGTCTACTTAAAAATGTAAAGAATGAATGCCACTAGCATACATTTGCAAAAGCATGTATTCTATAGATATACTTGTCAGGAAGCAATGATGCTAGCAAATTCTGGCCGAACATCCATTTAGGACAAATCTGATTTTGCCATTTTGCAATGTGTGAAGTGGCCCTTAAGTATAGACAACTGCAACACTCATAAGCAAGATTTCACTGCTCCAGTCCCGAACACTAGGGCCCTTTCTGCACTGACAGTTTACTTCGAAGAATCCAAGGAGTCAAGCCTTAAAGGGTTGACTTCACAATCGCACGCATTCCTCCTGCACTGTTTCCCCCCCCCTCCAGTTTATTTTCTTTGTGTATTCTGTATGCATTCTGCATCTATAAGCAAAACCCACATTTTTGAGCTAACTGGCTGCTTTATCTAAAATGAAGAGAAACTCCCTCCCTCCCTCCCTCCCTCTGTGATTCTGCAAGAAGAAAGGGAAGGGAGGGGGAAATCCAGGCCCACACATGCAAAAGTGACACATTTGGGAGCAGGGAATCCCCCAGGTCTTTATATTTACTGATTCCTTCCTATGCTTTCTCTGGGTTTTTAAAAGTTTGCCTGAATGGGAGGAGACGTCCTCTTTTGTCCTTCAAGAAGGAGGGAAAGAAAACAGAACAGGGAGGGAGCATCAACCTAAAGAGAGAGAGGTGGAAACATGGGAGTGCAGTGGGCAGCACTTAAATACCCGCAGAAACAATTCTACTTTAGAAAGGATGAGCGATTCGAAAGCGGATGATGACAAAGAATAGCAGCAAAAGGAGTTTTGGTAACTGCAGCAACAGTGTGCTGGAAGCGGTCTGGATGCAGATCCCTGTAAAACAAATGCAGAAACAAGAAAAAGCCCCAACACAAAACGGAATTGAAAGCAGGAGGGAATGCAGGTGCAGAAAGGGCCTAGGTTGAAAAGAGACTTTTCGAAGAATGTGGTTCTCTATTTGAATCAAGGCAAGCAGATAATAAAGCAAGGTCAAAGGAAGTGACCAGAAGTGAGGATGAAGATGTTGGTTCCGAATGAAACTTAAGCCAGCTGTAATTGGTGGCAAGGGAAGCTGAGACAGGGAGATCTGCCCCTCTTCTGGCTGGTGCCAGTTTTGGTGTCTACACACTGGCTTTTGCATTCTGGATCCCCTTCTGAGCTGACTCTGTTTCCTGTTCCCATGACCAACCCAACACCAGCCATCTCCTCTGAAGCAACATCTGCATAGATCCTTGTGTGCAGTCAGGACACTAACTCAGTATAGGCATTAGAAGATACCACAAGGACGTGACTAACCTAAGTCTGTTTTGAGTCATCACCTTGGTATAGCTGTAGGCAAAGAAACTGTCATGGAAGGACTAATTGAAGACTGGCATGACTCCCTGTTGGCTCGATCTTAACTCTCTGTTATCAGTTCAGGACGATTGCAGCTATACATTCTCTTGTTCCTTCCTGAGGATACTTCCAACTGGAAAGTTCCACAAATGTCAGACTGCCTGCGTTGATGGGCCTGATGCATTCAAGTCACATGGGGATATTGAGGATCCCTGTGTTGTTAGCAGTCAGACCTCTCCTCTCGCTGAGGGGCAGTTTATAGCTAGTATAACCATAAACACCCTTCCTTAAATATCACCTCAAACATAGTAAATGCAAGACATTGCCTGACCCCCAAATGACACAAAATGGATGCCAGTCAGAAATAAGCCCAGACATATAGTTTAGAAGTGTGAGTAAGAGCAGCTGGCTAGCTAACAACTCCCTCCAGGCCCCAGAGAGATGTATAATTTAGGACAATGGGTCTCCTGAGAACCTATGGACTCACCTTGGACTAATCTCATCAACCTCACTTCCTTGCACCCATTTTACCTTAATTAAGCAACCCTTAATTCTATTCACAAAACCGAGTAGCTTTTCCCATCCACTATTTACAGGGTCACATCTATAGTCCACCTCCAGAAAGCCCTCCCATCCACTATTTGCAGGGTCATCAAGGCCCGTTCACATCTATAGTCCACCTCCAGAAAGCCCATTGAGTTATTGTTTTTCTGGGAAACATGTCATACCTGCCACAGGGCACATTTTGCCCTATATCAGAAGGCATTCTGCTTCCCAGCTCTGTGTGTGTTTGTGTCTATCTGTCTGTCTGTCTTGGATCCTCCACATACCCCCCCCCCCCGGTGCGGGGGCATCTTCATGAAACGCTGGTCGTTTTGCTACTTCCGCAGACCTTTCCAAGAACAGTAATTATTGCCCTCCCTGAAATCTCTCTCCCCGTGTTTCCTCTTAGCTAGTTCTTGTGTGTGTGTTTGTGTACTTTTTGTTTTATTCTTTCTCTTTTTTAACAATAACTTTTCTGGTTGAACATCTGCCTGTTTTTATTTCGAGAGCTCTCTTAAAGGAAACATTCCCGTAAACATTGGTGGAGAATCCCAGTCCCGCCCCCCTGCTCTGTTTCCTTAAGCTAATTCCCCCAACTAATAAGGAGACTGCCCCTTTGGGTAACAGTATTGATCACTTTAGTCCAAACAAGATAGGCACAGGTGACGCAACTCTGACCCCACCCCCTGCCCATAACTGAACATTTGTGTTAAAACTCATTGGTATTCACAGAAGATTATTGAAGTTTTATATTAAAAATATGGAAACCAGGGGGCCACAGCTTACCCGATCTCCTCTTTTAGGCTCTGTGGCTAAATCTTCTTCTCTTTCTTCCCCCTTCTTGCCTTCTTGATCCAAGCAACATTTTCCGCTCCCTGCTAGGGGACAGCACTCCTGCGGAAAGCATTTTTTAAATAAGAACATGATGGTTATAACTGACAAGAGATATACTGAGTGATTTAAAGCACATTTGGCTGATATTTTCTCTCACTCATGAATGCATGCGTGCGCACACACTATATGAATTCTTTATCATAATAATCACTGTACTTATTTTTTATCTCCCTGTATGCCACAGTGGTTCTTCATTCAGATTCCACTGAGGCCTGTGGCAGAGTGAGCATGCATCCTCAAAAAAATAACTGCCATGTTCTGGTCAGGATTACATATCTTGGGTAGGGAAGGGTTTTTGTTCTTTGTTAGGGTTGACTGTCCATACTTTTGGCTTCAGATGAGATAAGTCTTCTAGAACATTTTCCTCTCACTATCCCATTCTACTATGCCCATTGTCCAGTTTCCTTCACTCACTTCTTCCTGTCCTGAGGGAGGGAAGTTCCAGCCCTTGCCTTAGCTGGCCCATTTCCTTTTCTCAACTACATATTTAGTTTTGTGGTTTCCTATAGGCAGTGCAACAGCTTAGTGCAAGAAGCCCTTTAGCCTCCTAGAAGTCTTTTCTTTCCATTCCCTGCACATATTGATTATTCTGGCATGCCACCTGTCCTCCAATATACCAACCTACGTAATTCAATTTCTTTTTTTTCAAGAGCCAGTTGTTCTGTACTAAACTACATTCAGCTCTAAAGACAACTGTTGCAGACCCCCATCCTAGATCTTCTGTCTTTATATGAGACTGCAGACAAAAAAAAAGTCTTCTTTTGGCCCCCGCCTCCTTTCTGAAACAAATATCTTTCCTCATATAGGGTTGTCAACTCTGGCTTCGAGATTTGTGGGCGGTGCCTGTGGAAGGTGGGGTTAGGAAGGGTTTTCACCTAGAATCTATAATTCACCCTCCAAAGCTGCCATTTTCTTCAGGGAAGCTGCCATTTTCTTCAGGGAAACTGATTTCCATACCCTGGAGGCCAGCTATAACTCTGGGAGAACTCCAGGCCTAGAGGCTGTAAACCCTCCATGGTTCTTCATGAAGAGATTGGATTTATACCCCACCCTTCACTCAGAGTCTCAGAGCGGCTTACAAACCCCTTTCCCTTCCCCTCCCCACAACAGACACCCTGTGAGGCAGGTGGGGCTGAGAGAGCTCTTTCAAGAACTGTCCTTGAGAGAACAGCTCTGACAGGACTATGGCTTGCCCAAGGTCATCCAACAGCTGCAAGTGGAGGAGTGGGGAATCAAACCCGGTTCTCCCAGATTAGAGTCCATGCGTTTAACCACTACACCAAATTGGCTCTCATGGCTAGTCTTCAAATGACCCTAACATAATACAGATCAAAATGAGTAGCTGTGTTAGTCTGTCCGTAGCAGTGGAAAAGACCAAGAGTCCAGTAACACCTTAAAGACTACAAAATATGTGGCACGGTATGAGCCTTCATGAGCCACTGCTAAAGAAGTGAGCAGTGACTCACAAACGCTCATACCCTGCCTCCTATTTTAGTCCTGTTCACACGGTGAATTTGCCACGGGAGAGCCACGATAAGATGGCAGATTTTCCAGGTGCGATCACACCACAACATCTGGCAAGTGGAGCGCACCCATGGGCAACCCGTGGCATGCCGCCGAAATGCGCGATTAAAAAAATACCTCCTTTAAGGTAGTAGCAAGGTTTGCCACCGGCTGCCTCCGGACTTCCTTGGTGTGATCGCACCAGTGCAGCTTTTCTCTCCGGCCATCTTCGTTGCTGCGCACACGCCGAGGGCTGGAGCCATGGGTTGCCGCCAATGCATCTGATCATGTTGTCGCATGGCTAATTGCGGCACTGCAAATAGCCATGCCTCCCCCCCCCCCTGCGTTTTCCGGCAAGTGTGACCGGGGCCTTTGTTAGTTTTGAAGGTGCTACTGGACTCTTGCTCTTTTTTACTAACATAATATATTACAGTGACTGCACCCTTAGTGTGCTGCTGTTTCCAGATCAGCAGGGCCCTGGCACCCATGGGGGCTGCAGATGTTGTCCTTTTAGTCAGACTTGTTTAAAAGATGCCATATCAGTTATAGACGTATTCAGTGTTCTGCTGAAAGTGTTGATGTATCTGTGAGCCCAGATGGATGCTCACACACAAAAAAGTTTTAGATGAGCACAGTAGAGTTTAGCGGACTTTAGCCTTTTGTGGTGCAGAATTCTGTTCTCCAGCACATAACACACATAGGGTGCGGTCAGACGGCGTGCTGAGAGCGGGTTAAACTGCTCCGGTTCTAAAGGGATTATATTTGATCTGGATAATCGTGATCACACTCACCTCCCTTATCCCGCCTCACCGCGCAGTCACGTCGCTCCCCGCTGTCTATGTGGGAGCGTGTGTCGGCGTTTTGCAGATGTCATTCTCCCTTAAAGGACACTATTGACTGTTTCAATGAACTGATTTATTAGGGAGAGTCCCCCACCCTCTTACCGGAGAGAAAGCACTGAAGCTGTCAACTATAGGTCTGTACCCAGTGCAACGGCATAAATTACCTGGAAGAAAGAATCAGACAAAGGAAGAACAAAGAAATAAATATTTAAGTTATGATGTCACAAATCATGTGAACCACAGCCTTCACGTCTGGACTGTTCAGTCCTTGTACAGTCCTGGGCTGGATTCATCTCCAGGTGTGCTTCTGATCAATGTTCCCTCTAAGCTGTAGAGTCTTGTGAGCAAAAATTCTACTTTGTGAGCTACTTGCATTAAAGTTGTGAGTGAGCACTTTGGCTCCTGCATAATTTAGTTTGTTCTGGAGCCCTCCTTCCTGAGCTAGGACAAAAATGTGTGAGCCGGAGGCTAAAAAACGGTGAGCTAGCTCACACTAACTCAGCTTAGAGGGAACACTGCTTCTGATACTTTAACAGGAAGGGAACCCCA